TGTTGTTGTTGTTGTTATGTGCCGTCGAGTCAGCCCTGACTCATAGCGACCCCTCCTTGGGTTTCCGAGGCAGTATCACTACGGAAGTAAGATTGCCCAACCTTCCTTCCGAGGAGTAATACCTATGTACCTACCAAGATTTAATATTTTTTTTACATTTTGTTGGTTATTTTTCTTCAGTAACAGAGCTGTTATCTAAGTCAACACTCTCTACATTAACCAGGTGATCTGAAACTACTAAAAACCGAAAATAAATACCAAGTTTACTTGAGGAAGCATGTAACATCAGGGATTTTCAGACAGCGCAGCATAGTGAAGGGAGTGATCTGCCCATGTGGGTTAAATCTATGCCTGCTGTTTACTTGAAGTAAGAACCTATGAGGCAGCTTCATGACTTGTCGATGAGCTGACAAATACACATCTTGAGCAGAAGGGAAGTTGTTGGATTTTTAGGATCTTCACAGGCAACAGTTTTTTCCTCCTTACATGTACCATATTTCTACTGTCCTTACCGTCACATTTTTAGATTTTTTATAACCATATTCATCTTTGCCTCTCTATCCTTCCAAAAAGAAAATACAGTAAACCCTTAATTTGAGCAAAAGCCATCACCTCTTCACCTTTGAAGTTATTGAAAGCACATACCTGACTATGAGTCAAGAGTTCTGACTTCTGATCCCATTTCTGTCACCAGCCACTCTGACTTTAAGCAAGTGGTTCAGTGTCATCCTAAGTATCCTCAAAAACAAAAGACTGCATTTAAGTGGCAGGTAAGATTCTTGTCGCCCTAGCCATAATGACCCACTAAGGTAGAAGACAAGTTTTCTCCATTTTCTTTTTCCTAATTTACCAACATAGAATGTATCCTACGTCACAAATGTCAATGTGTTCTTCCTTTAGGCTGTGAAATTTGAACCATACCATGACAGTGCCCTTGCCAGATTTCTGCTGAAACATGGTTTAAGAGTAAGTACTTGCATTTTGATAGTAGTATGATGTTTTAAAACTTAGCAAGAATAGACTGATAGCCCTAGAGCATTAGTCATAATAATTCAACTTTCTTGTTCCCACTCTCAGAACAAAAGAATTGGTCACTTCTTGTTTTGGTTCTTGAGAAGTGAGATAGCTCAATCCAGGCACTATCAGCAGAGATTTGCTGTGATCCTGGAAGCTTATCTGAGAGGCTGTGGCACCGCCATGCTGCACGACTTTACACAACAAGTCCAAATAATCGAGACATTACAGAAAGTCACCATTGATATTAAATCACTCTCAGCTGAAAAGTATGACGTCAGTTCCCAAGGTATGATTCCTACATTTCCTTGGTTCTTTCCAAATGCCTGTGAGTCCAATGTTGTTGTCCCT